TCAAGAATGAGCCACAATGCTGACGTGATCTAATTGCACTGTTGACGTGATCTAATCGCTAGCACACCCTGAGCACATGTGAGTTAATGTATTCCTCTTATCGGCAAGACATATCGGCATACTTTTTCATATCGGGCCGATGCCGATATTTACATTTAAAGCCATTATCGGCCGATTCCGATATTGGTCCGATAATATCGTGCATCCCTAAAAAAGACTCACTGTACATACTGCATCTAATTACACGTATGCACATATATTGCATTAGACAAGTACACACAAATGTTAAATGAACATTGGTGTTCAGAGAAGCTCATCTCTGAACAGAAGCAGGTAGGTCGAACAGCTGTGACAGATCTTAATGAGAGAAACGAGCTGTTAAATGTGTAATGAGGTGCTATAATCGATTGATGGTGAACTGACCCAGAAAATCTAGAAATTTCAATGCAAATAGCATACCATTCAGGCTCCTTTGAAATACTTTTTTGAGGCACTATGATTTGGGGTGTACTACTCCTAAGCTTACGTACTATATACTATGGATAATTTGAGATGCAGCCATGGAGAGTCACTCAGCATACTGTATACTGCAGCATTGACGTGTCTTTGGTGCTCGTGGTCCCTCTAGTGGTGAGAGACTAGAGAATTACAGCAAAGTGTCTCAATCTGGGGCTATGGAGTGTGAATGTCTTATGTATATTTATATATATATATATATATATATGATATAAAATAATTATTTGCATCTTTTTTTAATGGGAAATTGACCCCAATTACTTATATAGCAGATATATTAAGCATGGAGTTTTGGTTGTGATAATATGCCAACATCTGCTTATAAAGACAATTATTTGATAAAGGTTATCAAATAATTGGGCCATCTGAGAGTCCATTGTCGATGTAGCATATTTTTTGTTATTGTGGTGGTTGTTTTCTATTTTATTTTTTCTTGCCATGTCACATCTTGTATGCATCTGAAACCACCTCCTGAGGTTTGAGTGATAGCATTACTGGCTATCCTTTTTGAATGCGTCTTGGAGGGTGTTTTAGCACTTAATTTTTACACACCATTTGGAAAGCTTCATGTATCTCCATCATAATTTCATCTGGCTTTTACTGTTCTCTGCCTCAAGTGTATCCAGGTCTGTACATTTGCTTCTCTGTCAGGTGGTTCTGGCTTCGGTCCTGCTGTGATCTTTTAATCACACCCACCATCTCTTAATCCATTAAGGCCTCTCATGCTGCGATACTGCCAAAGAGCACTCACGCCTTCCTGTTCTCTTCCAGGAAGCACTCGATGCTCTCTGAAATCCACGGGATAGAATACAGAGGATAGTTTTGTTAAAGTGCCGGTATCACGCTGATTCATTGTAGGAGAGGAAATTGTCATATTAAAGGTGCCATGTTCAACAGTGGCATGTTGTTTTCTTTTGAAGTTCACTTTATAATGTTAGTCAAGATTCCAGCAGCAAAAAAAAGGTTTTTTGTATCCTTTCTCTCTTGGAAATAAAAGCGCTAATAGTAAAATAAAAACGTTACAGTGTCTTCAATATATCTATATTTAAATAACCTCTGTTATGATTGGCTGTTTTGCATTGAGCTAATCAATAAAACAGCTGATCAATAAAACTGATAAAAGCTCCTAACAGCAGTCTAGTGTGCATTAAGCTACAAAAAGAAAGAGCACGTGTGTGTACATATGTCAGTCAAATGTAGCAAAAACACATTAAGGGAGAGCATTGATTTTGAACAAAAATATGCATTTTGATAAAATATATTTTAATTATATTGTTATGTTTAACTGATTGATTGATTTAATTTATATTTTAAAGTAATATTATTAGTAGTATTATTAATTATTAATAAATATAATTTACAAATTCCAATTAAAGTGCGTAACTTAAATCTTGGCAATATAATCGCCATTGGCTAGTAAATTTTTTTGTTTACTCGCCAGACTGATATACTATTTTACAC